TTCTTCTTCTTCTTCTTCTTCTTCTTCTTCTTCTTCTTCTTCTTCTTCTTCTTCTTCTTCTTCTTCTTCTTCTTCTTTCTTCTTCTTCTTTCTTCTTCTCCTTCTCCCTCTCCTTCTCCTCCTCCTCCTCCTCCTCCCCCTACTCCTCCTCCTCCTTCTCCTTCTCCTTCTTCCTTGTTTTCTCAACCTTTTTAAATACTGGTCCAATGAGAATGTTCCCATCACTAAGCCATTAGATCTCTACAGAGCATGGAAGCACACCACGCGTACAAGGTAACTGTTGCAGTGCATGGCAGGTGAGCTTCCGGGCGGGTTTCTTTATGCTCCTGCCCTCAGTTTGGGTCTTCTAGACACACATGACTTAATGCCTCAAAAGTTCAATATTTTGATGCAATCACATCAAACAGGTGCCACCAGGACTACAAATGGGAATAGCAAGAACTAGCTCCAGCATCAAAAGTCAGATCAAATCCTTACTGTTGGGCTGGGGAGACATCTCAGTGGATTAAGTACCTGCTTAGGCAAGCCCAGGGACTGGGGTTGGATCCCTAGTACCCACGCCATGCCAGAGACTAACTGCCCATGGGGACATTAACAATACCCACCCTCTAGCTGCAGAGATGATTTGAAGAATGGAAAAGACTGAAGCATGACACAGGGGCCAAAATGGCTAAAAAAGGATTCCTATTGGAAATGTCCAGAACAGAATGAGAAAGCACATACCACCAGAGGCATTATATCTTTTAGGTGAGACTTATTCATTTTAAAGTGAATTATCATTGAATTATTTTAAACATGATTCCCTCTTGGTCAGCTGTGGTGGAGCATACCTGTAATACTAGCACTCGAGAGGATGAGGCAGGAGAATCCTTGCAAGTTCAAGATCAGCCTGGGCTACAAAGAGAGCTCAAGGCCAGCCTAAGCTGTATAGCGAGACCCTGTCTCAATAAATATATAAATTGTGGGGGGCGATAGAACGCTCCTGTTATATTTTCCCTTATTTGGGCAAGAAGTGCTGCAGCACCAATCCCTGCTTGCCTCGGCATCTTCCTGTGGTCCTGGATCTCCACTACCAATCCACAACTAGTCCCACCCAAATACTTCCACCATACGGCTATTTAGACCCTGTTCACTTCCTCAATAAACGAGACTTGATCAGAAAGCCTGTCTTGTCTCCGTCTCTTGTGTCTCTTGCCCTGTCTTTTTCATCCCCGTTCCTCCTCCAGGTCATTATCCCACTTCTTGACTCGTGGGCCGAGTCAATAAATAAATAAGTAACCCCCTTTGTGCATTAGATAATTTGCTTAGCATTATGTACATGGACTTGAAAATTAAAATATTAGAATTTTTTGGCACTTGAAGCTGGAGTTGTAGCCGTAGACACTTTAGCTTTCCAAGAAAAACAGCACAATCATGGTGTGTCAATTGAAAAGAAAACAACACACACAACTTAAATGAATCCTCTCATTTTGTAATTGAAAACTCCACACCCCTCTCCTGAACTTACTTAAACACAGTGAGAACCAAATCTTGCTAGGATCTTCTTCCTGGTTTGTGTTCTGTACAGGCTTTGATGTGTCACAAGACATTGTTAGATTTTTATTCTTTCTTTTTCACCATGAGATGGACTTCTGGAGTTTGTGGTTGAGGAAGCCAAAGCTTTGGAGTAAGAAGGGCAAAGACTCAGGTAAAATCTTTGCTTCTCTTTCTAGCAGTCTTGGTCCTTCTTGCTCCAGTGCCCTGAGGCGAGGGAAGCAGTGGAGAGTGCTTCAGGGGAGGTCTCAGTTGATGTATAAATTACTCCCAGAGCTTTCATGCTGACTTCTGCAGCAGACACTCCAGAGAACGCAGTAAGTTCAAGACTTTAAGCTAATTTCTACTTGAACAAAATAAGAATTTCCCCTGTACATTGACTGATGCAATGAACTTAGAGATTAGTGACTCAGAGCCCAAGAACTTTGTCAGCAGGAGTTTCTGCAGGACTCTACAGGATGCGAGTGGATCAGGGAGTGTCTTCTCTCAGCCTTGCTACCTGGAGTTGGAGCTGACTTTCTCAATGGTGCGGCCCATGGAGGTGGCCGATCCCCAGGACCTGGCCCTGGCATGAGCTTCAGGAAAGGTGCCATGTGGGGTCTGGGAAGGGGCTAGATGCTAAGGAATATTGTTCCCATTTTGGGAGCAGCTTACAAAAATGCAGCGCAACAGGGCACTTGCTGAGAGAAACAACAGTTCACGGCCTTTGTGTCTACCACCAAATGTGTTGTGCAGAAAGTAACAGCCCAAACTGACTGGAGCTAAGAAACCCCTTGAACAAAGAAGGCCTCCAGTAGGAGGG